AAGGGCAAATGGACAGAGGTACGTGACGGACATAGGCTCGACGAGGTAGGCCTAAGATTTAAGAAATATCATACATTATTCACCCCCTACCCCCCTTCCCACCGCCTGATTCTCACCAAATTACATTCAGGTAGAGTGAAATATTCGTTCAGATGTCCGAAGACTTTATCGTCATCAGAAAAAAAACAAAAAATGTTTTCTTAACCACTGTACTGCGCAGCCATCAAATATGAAAGCCCTGGGTGCGTAGGAAAAATATATTTCTCCCAATTATTTTCTTATGTTGTTATGATGCGTTCTCTGATCACGGGGAAACTAAAACAAGACAAAAATAATAATGTGGGTGACATACTTTGGCTATAATGGAACTAGGAAGTGTGGAAATATTGTCTGGTTGAGAGAGGACGCGCCAGGGGCGGGCGCGGGGAGCCGGGCCGACCCGTGTGGCCGAGGCTTCAGCAAATACATTTTTTACATAATTATTTCAATGACTCTGAATGGTTTTATATATCTAGTGGTGTGCAGTAATATTATTCCATAGTGTGTGTGGTTTGAGGCATTCATACCTCAAATGTGTGGAACATCGCTTTGCTCATAACATACGGTGCTGGACTCTTATGGCTCGTTTATTATATTCTCAGATTAGTGTTTTTGCTGTTGTCACACTATACTCACTCGTTATATTCATTTATATTTTTATGAACCCTAACGAACCACCGTGTAATTCTGGTGCATAGTATTTCTTCACCCTTCGACCAGCAGACTATGTCGAGCTACACGCTACGACCAGCAGACTACGTAGAGCTGCACGCTACGACCAGCAGACTACGTAGAGCTGCACGCTACGACCAGCAGACTACGTAGAGCTGCACGCTACGACCTGCAGACTACGTAGAGCTACATGCTACGACCAGCAGACTACGTAGAGCTGCACGCTACGACCAGCAGACTACGTAGAGCTACATGCTACGACCTGCAGACTACGTAGAGCTACACGCTACGACCTGCAGACTATGTAGAGCTACACGCTACGACCAGCAGACTACGTAGAGCTGCACGCTACGACCAGCAGACTACGTAGAGCTACACGCTACGACCAGCAGACTACGTAGAGCTACACGCTACGACCAGCAGACTACGTAGAGCTACACGCTACGACCAGCAGACTACGTAGAGCTGCACGCTACGACCAGCAGACTACGTAGAGCTACACGCTACGACCAGCAGACTACGTAGAGCTATACTCTACGACCAGCAGAGTACGTAGAGCTACACGCTACGACCAGCAGACTACGTAGACCTACACACTACGACCAGCAGACTACGTCACCGAACGCAGCAAAATACCCAGAAATATCTTTCGCCCGTCGCTATTATTGCTTCGAACACGGCTATTATGATCAGATTCCTGTCACTACCTCATGAATATGAATCACTTTCCACAAGATCACCTTCTGAAGGAAGATGAGGTCACGCTGCACGATGCGTCGCCTCTCAAAGCCTCGGCTCTGAACGTCGTAACCAGCACTGGATAGTATATATTAAATATAAAAATCAACAAATTTCTACTAAAACATTCATGAACTCACTCGGGGAAATGGAAGCAAGACTAAGGCTATAAAGGAGGCCGAGGTGGGATAACAACTCCAGCCGACTACACTCACGAGGAGAGAAACACACATTCCATTTTTTATAGCACAATGTTATTGTTGAGGCCAGCGCCAGAGAGAGAGGCTCCGAGAGACAGATTCAGAGAGACTCAGAGAGAGAGAGACCGACAGACAGACATATACATAGAAAGATCACATAGTGTACACCCGTGACACGAGGCGCTCAGCCATAAAGTCTCATACTGGAACTGTCATTCTCAAGAACATCAACTCCATCAGCTATAATTTCTTCCTAGGCTGACTAGCATCTGGAACCTGTTCCCTCAACAGGCTGATACACGAGGGATCAGGTCAACCAATCACATGAAGGCTCTGGCACACAGTTGGCACCTTGCTCATCTTGTTCCTGAAATGATTGCTACTTACATTTATATGAAGTTGATTGGCATTTATTCAAATTAAATAAATGAGTCTTTAAGGGACGAGGCATCAGATGAGTTGAGGTTGGACAACAGCCCTTGCTTCCAGTTTCACAAGGCAACTGTTCATTATATGAGTTACATTCTGTTCCTTGAATAGATAAAGATAGAGATAATAATTTCGTGAAATAAATGAATCTCTAGGATCAAGCTTTGCATGAGCATAGGAAGAATAAAAGCTGTTGCTTGTAATTTCACTATGTACCTCAATTGACAGCCATAAAGAATCCTACTATTAAAAATGAGATGGAGAGAGAGAGATCCTCACTCCCTCTCCCTCTCCCTCCAACATACAGGAGCATCCATAAATGCCTCCTCCCTGGGCCCGCCGGGGCCGGCCGACCTCACCACCACACACATTCCCTTCAACAAGTTTCAAGCGCCCACCAAAGAGGAAAAATTGACCACAACTTGATCGCTAATGATGCACTTGTGACAAAATTCCACCGACTCGAAACTCGGCTGATGGTGGTAATTTGGAGGTGGCTTCCGCCTGAGGTTCAGCAGAGGGAAGAGAAGGGGGAAGAGAGAGAGACGAGAGAAGAATAAGAACATGGAGAATAGCAGATAGAGAGAGATACGAATGTGCATGGGCTGCTTCGAATAATATATATATATATATATATATATATATATATATATATATATATATATATATATATATATATATATATATATATATATATATATATATATATATATATATATATATATATATATATTTACATTTATATATATTTATATATATATATGTCGTACCTAGTAGCCAGAACGCACTCCTCAGCCTACTATGCAGGGCTCGATTTGCCTAATAGGCCGAGTGATTTTCTTTATTTTCAATAAATTGTTTCCAATTAGTTTATTTGAATGATTATTATTATTATATTATATTAGAAACATAAATTATTGACTTAGTTGTGTTAGTTTAGGTAAAGTTAGGTTAGGTTAGGTTAGGTAGGGTAGGTTAGGTTCGGTCATATATCTACGTTAGTTTTAACTCAAATTTTAAAAAAATAACTCATACATAATGAAATGGATAGCTTTATCATTTCATAAGAAAAAATTATAAAAATATATAAATTCAGGAAAACTTGGCTTATTAGGCAAATCGGGCCTTGCATAGTAGACCGAGAAGTGCGTTATGGCTACTAGGTACAACATATATATATATGTTGTACCTAGTATATGTTTCTTTTCATTGTTGATGGTAATTGAAAAATCAATTCTCCAAAATTCATTTTTATTTCTAGTCTGACGCGACACTTGAACGCGTTTCGTAATAACTTATTACATTTTCAAAGACTTCTAGTTTACACACACACAACTATAACCTGCAAACACTAAACTGAGTTCTTACTACGCTATGATTTAAACAGCTTTCATTTTATACCCGCATTTTGGGTGAGGTGATATGTTACAAACAGTTTTGGATGAGGTGACCAAAACTTTCAACACAGGACAGAACACGAAACAATGGGTATTAATTGGGTAAATTGAAGGTAAGAATGGAAGTAACTGCAAAGGTCCTATTGACCCATATTTCCTGATACTTCTATATTGGAGCGGAGTCTTGAAGTGGGTGCATTAATTGGCTGTTGATTGCTCGTGTTGACTTCTTGATGTGAAGACATCAAGAAGTCAACACCAGCAATCAAGTTTTGTTCACCTCATCCAAAACTGATTGTAACATATCAC